CCGGCCTTACGAACGTCCTCCAGGACCTGCCGGCACGCGGCGGATGGACGATGAGGTCGGGAAAGGCTGGCTTGGTGAGTCCGGCGCATTCGGTTATGCAGGGTTAGCAGGAAGTGCCGAGGCGGGTACTGGCTGCTAACTCTCACTTAACCTTCTCATTTGTATTTACCTCGACCACTTAACCACCATACAGCGATGGCAGACTGTCTGGTAATGATGAAAATTGTGATAGCTGCGTGTGGTATTTTTGTTTACAAAAGCTTGATAACCAAGTTTAATATATGCAACGTGATGAACCGATATCATACGAGATGTGCATCGAGAACAGCCATGTGCATATTTTGGCGTGCCGCCAGCATTACAGCTTCTCGCCACATGTAACAGTTTCCGCGAAGCTCGCTCTTTGATACGTCTCCTCTCCTAACGAAACCGATCACCAGTCGCTCTCCGGCCCCCATAGCTTCAGTGTCCTGCCGACCTTGCTGCTCCCCGGTCCGCACACGCACCTGCTGTAGGCCGTGTCGCCTCGTGCCGCCCTCGTACAGCTCCGGTCGGTCCAGCAGGTGGGACGCGTCATTCTGAATGCCCTCGGCCAGCAGCTGGCCGGCGAACTGCACCTCCACGTGGGCGTAGGTGGTGGTTAGCGCTTCCCGCCGCGGCCCCCGGCATTGCTCGTCCGTCTCCAGGGTGATCTGCGGCCGCCAGGGAGGGGTGGTTCAGACAGCGATCCTATCTGCGGCCGCCAGGGAGGGGTGGTTCAGACAGCGATCCCATCTGCGGCCGCCCAGGGAGGGGTGGTTCAGACAGCGATCACATCTCCGGCCGCCCAGGGAGGGGTGGTTAAGACAGCGATCCCATCTGCGGCCGCCCAGGGAGGGGTGGTTCAGACAGCGATCACATCTGCGGCCGCCCAGGGAGGGGTGGTTCAGACAGTGATCCCATCTGTGGCCGCCCAGGGAGGGTGGTTCAGACAGCGATCACATCTGCGGCCGCCCAGGGAGGGGTGGTCCAGACAGCGATCACATCTGCAGCCGCCCAGGGAGGGGTGGTTCAGACAGCGGTCACATCTGCGGCCGCCAGGGAGGGGTGGTTCAGACAGCGATCACACCAGAGGTGGCGCTCGCGCCGCTCGCCAGTTCGGATTAGGCATGTCCGGTAGCTTAACATCTCCGACTACATCAGTGGTGGTAGAATTTTAACGGTTGTATGGCACAAGAAAACTTGGAGCGATACGAACAGACTCAAAATACACGCAACAAATCTCTGCTTGACCTCAAGATCACGTCAAAATATGGGAGCACCGATTTTAACGCTTATGCCTAGAAAATTGACGCACCGGGTGAATCTCAAAGTCTGCCCTGTACCGATCATCATGAAGTGAAGTTCGTGGTCTTATTGTTCCTCCCTAACCTCGAGACAACATTAAAATACGGGAGGGTTATTCTTCGTTCCTTGTATGTGTTACGAATACTTGTAGGGGATGAGCGTGAAAAGCTATCTCATCTGGATCACCTGCGTCAATTACAGTGTTCACGGCACCTGATGATTCAAGGTCACACAAAGACCTAGAAGGAAGACCAACTCTCAGGGCGCCGATTTTGGGTCCGGAAAGTGTTTCTGCAGTGCATTATATCAAACCAGATTCCGAAACATCAGGATCATAGCGTGACTTGAAATGAGGCCACCCACTGTAGATCCTCTCAAACTGGATTCCAGGGTTGTCAAGGTCGTATCATTGATGGGTCCCAGTCTGGGACGCGGATTTTACATACATGAGTACGCTTTGAAATTTGTCGTGTCCGGTGAACATAAAAGCACGAGGAGGTCAGTTGACAGTCGGGAGGGAGAGCCGGTCGGGAGGGAGGGAGGGCCTATCGCCTCCTTTCTCCCCCTTGTCAGTCCGCGTCATGAAAACGACATATCAAGGCGAGGGTTAAATGTCGACCACCACTGATATCGCCACCAACCTGGCGGACATAGGTAAAGCCAACGCTAACCGACCAGCGTGGGTGTGGAAGTTGGCATCAAAGGATTTAGAGAGTGGCAGACAATCGCCAGGACCAGTTCGGCCATGGTCCGTTAACGATCTGTGTGGGCTGAAGCATGTGGAGCGGCGGCGGCGTCGGGGCAGACCCCAGCTCTTGTTCTTTGGACGTGACGTAAGAGAGTTCCAAATATAACACTCCCACAGCACAATCACCGGTGAGGTGACTTCATAAACAGCCGATAACAGTAACCGCGCGGAGACACGGCTTCCCGCATTTGACACAACCGGGCCCTGTGGCCGCTTGACACGTAGAGGTAGTCTGAGGCAGGGAGGTGGCCCTAGGCCAGGTCGACCCTGACGCGGCCCTGCTGCTCACCCTGAGCAGTTTGCCCTTGCCCGGTCCGATGGCGAGCACGCGCGGCTGCTGACTGGACTGAGGCGCCAGCGCCACCACGCGCGGCGCCAGCGTCTCCACGTCCAGGTAGTAGGCGGAGGCATCGACGGCCGAGAGAGGCGTGCGCGTACCGTCGCTGAAGAGCAGCGTCATGTCCAGCAGGCCCTCCTGGCGACGCAGGGGACAGCATCACACATGGTACACGGAGGCAGTGTCATGTCCAGCAGGCCCTCCTGGCGACGCAGGGGACAGCATCACACATGGTACACGGAGGCAGTGTCATGTCCAGCAGGCCCTCCTGGCGACGCAGGGGACAGCATCACACATGGTACACGGAGGCAGTGTCATGTCCAGCAGGCCCTCCTGGCGACGCAGGGGACAGCATCACACATGGTATACGGAGGCAGTGTCATGTCCAGCAGGCCCTCCGATGAGACGATATTTCACATAGACAACCTCATAGAGAGTCCGGCAATATGTTGGACACCTGTCATCAGCCACTTAAATCCACGGTTCTTTTTCGCCAGGCCACGGGAAGAGCAGACGGATACACCAAGTTCCATGGGAAGCCCGGTTGAACGGATGTGGAGTCCCGCGAAATCGGCAACACCCTCGCACTTCGCAGAACTCCTGCAACACGTAATTGCAGGTGGTGATGCGGTACCACCACAGACACCGGGGGCGCGGGCAACGATGTCGGTTTGTCGCCTGAGAGCGTTCACGTCAGGCCAGCGCTGGAGAGCGGCAGGCAGCATCCAGTCTGATCCCGGGCCGGACCCTCAACCTAGGATAGCCTGTCAACCGGCTGGAGAGGTATGGCAGATATTGGTTCGCCCACCGAGCTCATTCTGACGCTGGGGTGTCAAGATCCTTCAGTCCAGGCATCTACCTGGCACGTGCGGGGTGCGACTGTGCGGGGGTGCGACCTCACCACCCATGTCCTACACCAACACCCTAGTACTGCCACGATATCGTTCAAGTTCTGTAATTCTGCATCAGTAGTGGCCTGGTACTGATGGTGTAGCTCACAGTTCTTCCCAGGTACTGGCCTGGTACTAACCTGGCACTAGTATCGCCCGTGACAGCGGCGTCCTTCCCGAGCGCTGACGGCGCCCTGCCTGGGTACCGTCCTGGTAACGGCCACGCGTTGACCTGTTACCGATGATGTACTCTCCTGGGACAGGGCCGTTAGCGGGCTGGTGACGCTGGTTCTGCTCTAGCTCTGCCCTGACACTGCACGGTCAGCTGGCTGGTGACGCTGGTGCTACTCTGGTACTGGGCAGCCAGTCGGCTGGTGACGCCGGTTCTGCTCTGGCTCTGCCCTAACACTGCACCGTCAGCCGGCTGGTGACGCTGGTGCTGCTCTGGTACTGGGCAGCCAGTCGGCTGGTGACGCTGGCTCTGCCTTGACCCTGACCTGGTACTGGCGCTGAATCGTCAGTCGGCTGCTAACGCTGGTTCTGCCCTGGCACAAACCTGGTACTGGGCCGTTAGCCGGCTGGTGACGCTAGTGACGGCGGCGTACTCGTTGTCGGCGCGCCTTGACACGGTCAGCTGCAGTCCGCTGATGACGCCGGCCTCTAGCGCCGACACGGCCACGCGGTCGGCGGCCACGCGGAACTCCCGGCTGGCCACCTCAGCCCCGGTGATGGGTGACAACAGCTGCCGACAAGACCCGGCATGGTTCAGGACGGGACTCAAGGGTGACAGTTCTCTCACGGAGATTGGAGAGACCATGCAAAGACGCCAGACTGGCCCCCAACTCGCTGGCAAGGGAGGCATGAGGGTCGCTTGAGGCATCAGTGCTCTTAACCGGACACACGTCGGTCGGTTACCCAAGGAACAGCTCAGAGGAGTCCCTCCGTGGACCTCAGGGCGCGTTACTCCACTGTGACTATAAAACCACTGCGCGTCTTCCAAACCACTGCCGACTTCCATTCGAGCACAATCCAACAATCCACCAAGTGCCTCCGGCAATGCGCAGAGTTAGTTACCACAAAACCGCGGAAACCCGCCTACAAGCCACTGAGCACGCTCTTAAGTCGGCGAGGTTTCCATATGCCTACTCGGGCTAATCGCCGTCCCCATCGGCCTAGAAGGGCGACCAGCACGGGAGGTCAACTGACGGGGAGGGGCTGCTTTGGGTCACGCGGCCGGAGGCGCCAGATCGGCGGGCGCCGCTGATGTGGGGCTCCCGTCGATGTCGGGAGCGGAGACGCTTGATTCGGCAAGCTGTGGCAGCTGCTGCCTCCCAGCAGCCGTGTCAGGGGCACTTCGTCGCAGTTTGACAAAAGTGATGACGTCAAACGACGATTTCCGAAAACGCCTCGATCTTTGCTTTTCCTGAGCCGACGCCGCGGCGCTGCAAGCCTGCAAGAATTTATCTGAAATCCACTTACAGATACCCTGAAGTCAGCCGGTCACATCCCGTTCGGCTGATCTCCATCCGTCCAGTAAATCAGGCTTAAGTAAATTACCTGTCGTAAATCTGTGAAGCCTGCCCATCCACTCCCTTTAAGTGCCTTTTGGGAACTCATTGACTTACAAGGACTTTTGCATGGACTCACGATCTACTCTGTGACTGCAGGCCTGAGATCAATAATACAAGCCTTCAACTCCGGCCATAGCGTCGCTATCAGCTGCTGTCTGGCCAGTTCAGACATACCGGATTCTCACGAATCCCGCCGGTGACAGCCCGACGTGTACCTCTGACGTGCCGCCGTGGGCTTAGCTCCCAACAACAGGAAAACTGGCACGGATCTGCGATCATGAATGAGCCGAGGGAAGACGCGGCAGAGGCACCGTGACCCTGGAGCGGACGCTGCACACTTTGCCAGTCCTCAGGAATGTTTGCCACGACATGCACTACAAGCGTAACCCTGAGTTTGGAGGCGCTAGGAACGCGGCCGGTGGACGGCGCCGGCCTCCGTCCGTCAGCACGGCGCCGCCTGGAGACCTGCCAGCCACGGCCCGGCTCCGGCTCCGGCTCCGGCTCCGCACGCACGACTGCTGCTCCTCTGCCGGGACCGTCCCGCGGGACCGCACGGGATGGGCGAGACGACGCCAGAGAGGGGAGGTGAGGGGACGCGGCGGCCATGTCGCAAATGTGTTATAGATTGGCGGGGTTCACCTACCCACCATCCATTGCAACGTTTCCACTCATTGCGGTTATTGATACCCACCCGATATTGGAGCTACTACGATGTGAAATATACGCAACGAGTGTGCTGTATTAAAAAACAACAACAAAGCGCGACGCTTAACACTTAAAAGGAACGTGCTCGCGACAACAGAGATGGCACTGCCCGCAACGTTCGCGGATGTCCCGCGCAGAACATCCGTCCGTCTACCGACCCGGCGGCCTCTCGGCGGGAGCCTGGCTTCAGACAGGACCTGCGCCGGCTCTCTGTGCCCCGCCGCACCGCTGGCCACTCGGATAGACGGGCAGAGAGAGCGCGCCGAGTGCCGCCGCTGCGACAGAAGCGCAAAAACCGCTGCAGCATTGCGTCGGCGGCCGCTGCGGGGGTGAAGGTGGGGGTGGGGCGGGCCAGCTGCCTGTCCGGCGCGCTAGGCCGGTCAGAGTCGTGCTGGTGCAGACGTGTTTGCCCGACGTCAACAGGGCCGATCACAGGCACGTGACCGGCAACATGATCCGCCAGTCGGGGCTGACTAGCCGGCTCACTCAGCGCTCAACTATCCGAAACACGCGAAACATTGTTTGAGTAATGTCGGAGCCTACGGATGGCCTCCGCGGACCGCTAGAGCCGGATCAGCGCCGCCATAGACCCCGTTCTGGACAGGAAGCTTGCGACACACGCCCGTCCGCTGCGGTGGCCCGTTCTCTGCGCCATCCGCCGCATCTGCAGAACAATACCGGCGCACGGAGTGGGCGGCGCGGCGCGCAGGTCGGGTGGGCTCGGCGCCGCCCGTCGCAGGCGGCCGCCGCCTCCCAGGGCGCTCCGGCTCATAACCGGCTAACCCACACCGGCTGTCCCCGGCGTATGTGGCGCGATCAATCGCGATCAATCCTCGCCGCCGGCTGTCGTGCGCCGACCGGTGCGTCGGCCGCGCAGAGCGGGGCCGGGCCGGCTCGCGCTGACCTTTTCCGCGGCAGGCGCCGTCCGAGCCGCTGCCCGGCACCGGCCACTCTCCGGCGTCCGGTTCAATCAGCGCGCGACGATTAATGACGCGGCCACGCGCCGCGGCCAATCAACTGGCGACGATTAATGGCGCACCGGGTGACTTTGCCTTCTGGCCTGAGGACGCCGCTAAGCGCAAAAGAGGAGCTCCGACCCGCCCACTTCCTGTCTCCGACCTCCCCCCCCCTCCCCGCTCCCCCCGCATTTGGAGCCTGGCAGGTCTGGCACCGAAGCGGACGCCGGGCGTTTGTCCACGCCTGCCATGTGGTCCATGTCCGCTGCGCGAGCCGGCCCACACACGGCCGCCGGCGCAGACAGGGCGTCCGCTGTCTGCCGACACGGCGACCACCGCGGTCTGGCCGGCGACGGCACCGCGTCAGCATCCGAGGCCTGGGGGGGGGGGGGAGGGGGCCTGGAGCCAGCCTGGTGAGGCTGGCCGGCGGCGCCTGTGCAGTCCGTGCCTCCCGCCCACAGGTGTATTTGACGGCAGCGGGCCGTGTATTTGCGGAACGGAAGTTTACGGCGATGCAGAGCAGATTAGCCGGCCGCCATTTCCGCAGATGACCTGCCCTGCGCCGCGCCGACCAAAACACGGAACCTGTGACCGACGGTCCCATGGAGACCGCGACAGACGGTCCCAGGGAGACTGTGACAAGCTGTCCCTAGGAGAGTGTGACAGGTTGTCCCCAGCTGACTGTGACAGGCTGTCCCCAGGGAGACTGTGACCAGCGGTTCCAGGGAGACTGTGACCAGCGGTCCTGAGGAGACTGTCGCCGACTATCCAAAGGAGACTGTTGCAAACTATCCAAAGGAGACTGTGACAGACGCTTTCAGGGAGACTGTGGCAGACGGTCCCGAGCAGGCTGTGACAAATGGTCCCAAGGAGACTATGTCAGGTTGCCCTAGGGAGACTGTGACAGGCTGTCCAGGGGAGATTGTGACAGACGGTCCCAAGGGAGACTGTGACAGCGGTCCCGGGGAGACTGTGACAGGCGGTCCCAATGAGGCTGTGACAGGCCGCCCATGACAGACTGTGACAGGGCGCCCCAGACGGACTGTGACAGGGCGCCCCAGACAGACTGTGACAGGCCGCCCCAGACAGACTGTGACAGGCCGCCTCAGACAGATTGTGACAGTCCGCCTCAGACAGACTGTGACAGGCCGCCCCAGACAGACTGTGACAGGGCGCCCCAGACTGCGACAGGCCGCCCCAGACAGACTGTGAAAGGCCACCCCAGACAGACCGTGACAGGCCGCCTCAGACAGACTGTGACAGGGCGCCCCAGACAGACTGTGACAGGGCGCCCCAGGCAGACCGTGAATGACGATCTCCAGGTGGCCTTACCTTCGAGCCATGGACTGCGCCGCCGCGGTAAACGGAGGCAACGTTTGTTGGTTTTCACACCACGAGCGTGCAGGCTCGTGGAGCTTATCTGGGAACCTGCTGAAAGCCTCAGCTGCCTGGCAACCTCAATAATAAGCTCCAAAAGGCTTTCGAAGAAGTTGAACTGGTTTCCGTCCAATGGGAGTGTGGGTTTTTCAAGCAACCACGCGATAGCTTTCACACATGCATGCAATTACAGGGAGCGCCTGGGTGAACTGCACCGGCTGCAAAATACGGTGAAATGGCTTTCATCACCAGCAGATGTACACATCATAACGCGGTAACCCAAGCCAGGTCGATGGCGTTTCATTTGGAGAGTGTGGCTAGTGCTTCCTGAGCCGCAGCACAGCGCCGGTTCGCCATTACAAGGACCGGCTGAGCCTTCTCCATGCCCGGCTAAGCTCCCCGCAGGCCAGGCGCGCAGAGCCGGGCGCTAAAAAACAGATGCGTCCTCCGTCGGCCGTCGGCGGTGGAGGCCGCCGATTCCGCCTGAACGCCGCCCCGACAGAAGAACAGGTCAGATCGACTTTCGTTCTCTCACTTACAGGGCAGGTCGGTGCCAGGGTCGGTGCCACCCATGGGTGTAAATGTGTGTTGTTTTTTTTGTCCTAAATCCACCACATGATTTCATATACAGCACACATTTACATCACAGCGTGGGAGTTGAACACATCCAGAGCTATAAATCCTGCTCCCAAAGACCCGAAATGCTTCTAAGTTTACGTCTGTTCACACATGCCATGTCACAACCAACGGGCGTAAATATACATTTGTCGTTGTTTTTCTGTTAACAGTAGGAGCAACCAATATCCTTTCTCTTCCCTCGTCACAGAAACGTTTACCGTATATTTCCTACCCAAATGTTTAGAAAACAGACTGTTTCCAAAATACTGTTTTGTGCTCCTCCCTCTCATCCTGAATCACCCTCCCCCCCCCTCCCCCCCCCCGTCCTTCCATCACCAGGACGATGTTCCATTCATAGTTCGACCTGAGGGATGGCTCAGACCCCCTCGCAGTTTCACTTGAGAAGCAATTTAGACCGTCGTCTCTAACCACGAGAAGAGCAGCTTAGGCCGACTGATTCCCCGTCAGGGGAATACGAGCGACTAAACCCGTCCCTTCCCAACAGCTCAGACCCGCCACTCCTCAGCGGTGGAACAGCTCAGGCCCGCCACTGCTCAGCGGTGGAACAGCTCAGGCCCGCCACTCCCCCCCCCCCCCCCCCCTCCCCCGGCAGTGGAGCTGCTCACAGGGCAGCCGAGGCCGCGGTCCGTGGCCTCGGTCGGACACAGGCCGTTTACACGGCGGCCGACCCGGGACGGTGGCCGCCTGCCAGGGGACCGGCAGCTGCCAGCTCCGCCGCGGCCGCCGCGCCAGCCGGGGTCACGGCACTGCGCCACGGGCCACGACAGAGCGGGCGGTGCGCCGAGGCACGTACACCCGGCCGGGACAGGGTGGGCGCTACACCGGAACACAGGCCAACCGCAGCGCCATCTAGCGCACCTGTACCGAGCCGAAGCACCTTTGAGGAAGGGGATTAGTGCCCACAGCAGAGGCGTCAGCAATTACTGCCATTGTTACCGTAAAAAAGAAACGAAACAACGCTGAACGCATGATGTGCTGGACAGGTGTCCCGAGGAATTAACTCTACAAATAATTCCACGGAACGTTGTAATGAACTAATGCGGCGCGAGTACATGGTATGCGTACATTACGCAGCTTGTGATTATCGTCTCTGATCTTACTTCAGCTGCAGAAAGTCATCGTTAGCACAGATGAGCACCACAGCGACCCAAGCCGGCAGGTGTCGCGCTGTTCTTATGCATCTGTGACCGGATCATGCCCAACAGCGTAGGAATTGATCGATTAGCTGTTCAAGCGCATGGCCAAGGAATCAGTGCGGAGATCCGTGTGCACGGACACGGGGCAGTCTGGTGCTTATACGGTGCTCTTTAGACGACATCCCTTCGCTTCCAACAGATCAGATCATCCAACGGCGTTACTTTATATGCTTCTGGGGGACTGAACGCTCCTCCTCCCAATCCTCCTCTGTGTGCTCCCCTGAGCCCGAATGCTGAGCCAAGGAAATGCAAAAAATGTGATAGGGGCGGCCGTGGGCGGTAAAGGTACCGGTCGGCGGTAAATCTTCCACCTGATTGCATCACAAAAATAGTGAAAAAGAATAGACACATTTTGTGTGGCGTGTTCCAGAGTGTAAGTAATATTGGCCTGGTGTTAATTGATTTTAGCGAAGAGCCCTGAACATGAACGCTTACCTGATTGATAAGGTCGTTTAACCAATGTATACCTCTTCACAAACTAAATGTCCATTGTGTTCTGCAAACTTCCAACTCATAATACCAAAGTATCAGGAGTGCATGATCTTTCTTGCTGTCATGGACTTCAAACTCATATAAAAGCGCTGACCGCGCTGTTTTTTAAGACGGGTTTTCTGTTGACCCGTCTGGTCACGAGCCTTTACCTACCGTGCCCTTTTAGATGAAGGTACTTCCAGACAGTGCACATGATGCGTTTCTCATAGCTTCTCCGCCGAAGATGTACCATGTGTACATGTTCACAAAGCTGTATTTTCACATGGGCTCGAATTGGAAAGTCGTTTTTCTTTAAAGCAATCCTTAATCAGTTTTATTTTTTGTTGTAAATCTTAGTCAGCATGACAGCATGACAGCAAATTCAAGAGGTCGAAATTCGAGGAGAATTCAGGTCCTGGGGACAGGCCAGCTCAACCTTATCGACTAAGCTTTTGATCGACTTTAGAAAGCGACAACCTGATATCATCTTTATTCCGCCCAGAGAAAAGAAGCTCCGTTTGGTAGACGCGGAACAAAGCTCCAAAGATAAACAGACGCAAGCGCACATTTCGTGATCGTACTTTCCGTGCAGCACAATCACTCAGGCTGTCTTGTCAGTCACTGTCAGTTCAGTCAGTTTTGCAGCCACGTGGCCTTGTTGAGAACGGAGCTTTAAGAATACTTAAGCTGGACCCATATCACATGCCACATAATGCCGCCGGTTGCAAGAAACCATCGAGAGCATGCAATCAATCTGCCCGGACTCGATTTAACGCTGCTGGGAAAATGTTCAGGAAGTAAGCCCTGAGATACCGCGACGTCGCAGTCATCCGGGCGCGCGGTCATGGCGATTCACACAAACCGCTGAGTGTCAGCCCACGCCTTCTGGAGACCAAGCGATTCGCACAAGCAGCGGCTAACTGCGTGACCCTGCAGCCCTCGATGTGGAAAGTGCCTCTCTGATGCCCACACAGAGTGGGGGGAGGGGCGTCCAGGGGGTGCCGGTGGAGAGGAGGCAATAGATGCGCGCTGGTGGATGGGCACTGGTCGACGAACGCCGTGGGGGGGGGGGGGGGAGAGGGATGGAAGAGGAGCGGTAGAAGAGCGGCGGCGGGTCGCTGACGGTGGAAGTGGCTGATGACCGGCTGATGGGAGAGCAGCGGTGGATGACCGACTGATGGAAGGGCAGCGTTGGATGAGCGGCGGTGGGTCAGTGGCGGGCGAGGTGGCTGGTGGCCGACTGATAGACGAGCAGCAGCGGATGGGCGGCGGCTGAGCGTGAAAGACTGCTGCAGGAAGAGCGGTGAGAGCGATGGGAGAGCGGTGCAGGACTAATGGAAGAGCAGCGGCGGCGGATGAGTGTCAGACGGTGCGGAGCTGGAGCACGCCCCGGCAAACAGATGGCGTTTGTCGGCAGCGGCCGCGCCGAACAACGCCACTGGCCATCCGGCCGCCCAAAGCCCATCGCCGGCCAAATGGAGACGCATAACTTATCGGGCCGCCGCGGCGCTGCGCTGAAGCCCGGGGCCCGCGGGGACGGGGCTCTGATTGGCCCGCTCGCCCTGGCGCCACCCACTGTCAGCACTGGCAAACGCACGGCTGTCCACCGCACCCTTCACGGTCGCCAGCTCCGGAACAGGGCACGCTCAGAGCCTCCGTCCGAGGGGCGACTGGCCTGTCCGCGGCCCCCTTTACGGTCGCCAGCTCCGGGACAAGGCACGCTCAGAGCCTCCGTCCGGGGGGCGACTGGCCTGTCCGCGGCCCCCTTTGCGGTCGCCAGCTCCGGGACAGGGCACGCTCAGAGCCTCCGTCCGAGGGGCGACTGGCCTGTCCGCGGCCCCCTTTACGGTCGCCAGCTCCGGGACAGGGCACGCTCAGAGCCTCCGTCCGAGGGGCGACTGGCCTGTCCGCGGCCCCTTCGCGGTCGCCAGCTCCGGGACAGTGGCACGTTCAAGACCTCCATGTGAGACGGGCGTCTGCCTTGCCAGTGGACCCCGTCTGCCCCGGACAGGGTGTGCTCCGGATCGGTGTAGGAGGGGGGCAGACATGTTTTCCACAGAGCAGTAATGAATAACGTAACAAATGGTCATCTTTCCGCTGGACGCACCCAGCAAGTTTGCACGCCTCGTGTGCAGGCGAATTGATTAGTCTCAGTGCCAGTGCTAGGCATCCTCTTGCAGTGGTTGAAGGTGCGCCTGAACCATTCTCATTGCTGAAGAAAACTGTATAAGCCTTATCATGTTTGCACGTTCCGAAAGGCCTCTAGGGTCACCCTTGTCGTGAATGAAGTGGTCCTTTCCACTACCTGCCAAAACGGAAGCAATTCGAAGCCATGCCGGCAGCACGGAATCACCTGAACTTTGGTGCGTCCCTGGGCCTTGCCCACCAGCAGGTTGCCTCGGAGCGTGGCAAACTGAGGGTCAGCGACCCGGAGATGACCTCTGACCAGGTCAGTGACGCGCAGCGACGTCTTCCTTCCTGCCACATACGAGACGCGGCCGGAGTTGTCATCTCGGGAGACGAACTTGGCGTACACCTGAAGAGGGAAGTCGAGCGTGAATCTCCTGCTGCATAATGAAACGACCTGCAGGACAATGGTGGCTGTACCTGCTGACAAAGAAAGCGTGCCTTTTCGCGTGACTGCTAGACATCTCACTGCATGCAACTCCCATTCACTTGTCCGAACGAAAAAAGAGAAACTCTAGACAAGAACAATAGGAACATTTCCGTGCTCGTAAGCCGGAACATTTCACATCCGACTACAGACCAGAACGCATGGATTTAGAAGAGCTCACCCGCTAGACAAATTCAAAATCCACAACCACGCGATCGGCCGGTGCAACGGTCCAATCCACCGGCTCTCATCCCGATTCTGGGCACGGCAACACGCCTTGATTGCATCCTTTGCGTGATTCATCACCGGCGTCACCGTCCGCCGCCCGCACGGTGACCATTGGCTGAATCTGTTCCGGCTTCAGAGAGAAATATGGCGTACGATCACATCAGAGTTGGCGCGCTGACGACAAACCCCGGCGAGATTGGCAACGCGTGCCAGCCGAGTGCCCGACGTGCGCCGCTCCCCCGCCTCACCTCGATCTCGGTCTGCTGGTAGCGCAGCTCGCAGATCTGTCCACCGCCGCCGCTCTGGTACGTCTCCGTGACCGCGAACAGACTGCCGGGTCAGAGAGTGTCAGCGCCACCGGGCACGCGGCGCCCACGGGTCGTCGCCAACCGGTACGGGTCGACTGGCGTCGGAAGGCGTCCCCAGACGGTGCCGGCTGGACCGACTGATGACGGGACAGGACCGGACAGGCCGCCGGCCAGCACGACCTAGCTCACTGCCCGCTGAGTAGGATGCATGTATTTACATAAGGATAGTGGCTTGCTGGCATTGCCTGGACACTTGGAACGGTGGCCGCTCTCCACACACGGCACCGTGTACGTTTTTGCATCATGCCTATAATACTCCGGGAAAAACCGACTAAAACTACGTACTTCAACACGAAAAACATAATTTGGCAGCGACGAAGGTTGATCTCAGACGTGACGAAGTTATGAGGAGGTCGTAAGTATCGTCTTCTTTGAGTTCGTCTGCTCGCTATACCAATGTCAGTACTCCGTCAGGCACATCCCGGGCGCTCTCAGAGGTGCATCTGGGTAAAACTTCATTACTCGTAGGACGAAGAGTGAGCGCCGAGCTAGCTCCAAAGTCCCATCAGCGTGCTTCTTTAAAATAGAAACTAATTTTCTTTACGGCAGCCGTCCGTGGAGAGCGTCGCGGGCGCCATCCTCCCGCCCAAATCTCATTCCGGAAACAGGAGCCGTTTTTAGGCGCCTCCAATACGGCCACGGCGCGGGGCGTCGCCGCGGCTCCCAAGTGGCCATCGGGATTCCGGCTAGGGTTACGCGCCGGGTGCTCCGGTCCGCGGCGGAATAGCAAGCGAGCTGGCGGCCGCGGGGCGGGGGCGGGCTCGGGAGCAGCGTGGCGGCACGGGCGCCGCGTCGCCCGGGGCCCGTCAGCGACACGCTCTGTGCCCGGCGCGACGACCGTGGAGCCAGCATGGCGCGCTGGCCGTAATGGCCGCGAAATGGGCGATGGTCTGGCCGACGGTAATACGTCATTTTGTATTTCGTAAGGCAGCAACCCTGACTGGCTTCGACTATAAACGTCTGACCTTACATAAAGACAAGGCAACGAGAGCGCCGGCTTGCTCGAAGCCTCTCTGACCGGACAGCAGGCCACCGTCTCCGCTGCCACAGTTCGTCTAACTCATCTCCGCTCCGGCGAATCAGCGCACCCCATCCGTTACGCACCTGCCCAGGTCGTTGGGGTGTTTGTTGGTCTCGGGCAGGCGCACCTCCCAGCCGCGGATCTGGCTGAGCTTCGGATCCGGGATCTCGATGTCCAGCGGCTCCTCCGGCACCCAGACGCGGAAACTGAAACACGTCACGGCGTCAAAGCGCACGGCGCAGAGCAGTGCCCACTCGTCTGTAGGCAAGCCGTTGCAACCCAGCACAGACGCGAGTGGGCGTCCGCATGGTTCACACCGACACAGGCCACAGGGCCACAGCAAGCATCATGGTAATCGCAGATATGCCTGGTTCGCAACACAAAAAGCATCGGCGGGAACTTCAATAGCTGGGAAAGATACATACAGGAATAGCACGAGCGGCATTAGCATGGCCTGATCTGTCTGCCAGCTGATCTGTCAGCCGGACGTCACCACGGCCATCAGACCATCTTCTGAGCGGCCGCTTTTGGATCATAGAAACTGGTCCGGGCAAAACGGTGCGGATCAGGAGGTTATGCTGCTTGCATGGGATCAGGCATACACGATTCTATTCCGCGCGACTGGCATGACCACACAAAGGAACTGGCTGTTCTCGGCGTGGGGATGGAGCTGGCATAGAGACTGCAGTCATCTGACTTCAGATTAACGGGACTATCAGTCATGCTACGTCCCAGGACATAATGGCTTCATTGCGTCGCAACGACTGCGACTGAGTTAACTTCCAGATGTCTATGTGCGGTCACGCGTGATGCCATTGCCAGTGACGTCAGTGCGGCGTTCCCGAGCGTTACGCTGTTATGCCAGTAGCCCATTTGTCACCCGCGTAACGGAAGCAGAATTGTTTACGGATGGCATAACTTTTGGAATTATCGTCCCTAGCCTGGTGTGTTGATATCCACACAAGGTCTTGGCAATTACATGGAAATTATCCGGATTGTGACGCTTACATGGCTGAAAGACAGGCGCTGTACAGAGCTTTGCCCAGTCTCACATAACACCTGACGACGGCCAGAGAACTGACTGGCCGAAACGTTGCAAACGCGGTAACACATCACACGAAGACGAGAGACCGAACGCCAATTCCGTCCCTTATAGTAGCACGTCGTCTCAATCCTTCTGTAAACGTGTAAAATATTTAATGGAAATGTTAATCCTTTTCCATTTTAGGACGAAGCGCGAGAAAAGCAAACAAACAGCAGCGCAGCTCATTCTTGGGCAACGGCTGTTGCTTGTTATTCAGTTGCGTTTTTTTTTTTTACCCCCGACGCCACCTAAGTTCATCATAATATAAGCAACCCGCTTCCCAACACATTGTCGTGTTTTCTGCTGTCGCTACCGTTGACTTATGACTGCGCTACCAAAAGAACATGGTCGATCAGCTTTACCCCACATCTATCAGTGCCATCTTCAGGTAGCTCTCAGGAAAATAGGCTGCATTGTATGCGCTGGACGAGTTAGAGTACGCAGCATAACAGTACGCCTCTTGGTCACCCAAAATACACGTCAAGCAATTCCTTTTGATTAGATATCGCACAAAAGGCTGATAAAGACTGCAAACAGTAATAACTTACTCTAAACGTGGCAGAGACGGTAAATCTTAAAGGAACCTAACCAATCAGTTTGCACGGACAAACGCGCTGGTTTCGGGCGCAACGGCGAAGCCTTAGAGTTGACGGCATGACGGCCAATACAGCTTATCTTTAGTCCCGCAGCCCTTGGTCCTCGTTTCCGCTAGATTACAATGTTGTAGATAGCGTATTCCAATTGAAATAGTATAGCGTAACCTTTCGCACAACTTATGATGGGACCAATTTGGTCACGCAGTCTAGTGAACAAATACTTTAGCGATCTTTGCGGTCGGATGTGGTAAAATCAAAGCATAACGTGTTAAAGAAAATGTGTTCTCTGAAAGAGGTCAGTGGGACTTCCGTCGAAGCATTTCTTCAAAACATTTCCATCACACAACACACATTCCACAGCGCCAATATCAGCTACTGACGTAGGGTATGGGGAAAACTGGCCATGCAGTCTGGTTGCGTGTTGCAGCAGTTCGATTTCAGCTTCAAAGGTGGCGTTCTTCCTTTAACTCACGCAACACGCAGCCGCCCGAGTGACCATCGGGTCATCAAAACTAATCTCCGTTACCGTCGTCCCTCCGAACCGGTGTGGCGACGCCGCTGCTCACCTCGCCGAGCCGTGGTAGGAGCCGTAGTTGACGATGACGGTGGCGTTCTGGCTGCCGCGCGCCTCCGAGCCATCCAGGTAGACGGACGTGCACGAAGATGACACCTGCGGGCACGCCGTCGCCACCGTCAGCGGGACAGCGCCGGGGGACTGGCTGCGCTGCGCGACACGCACCGAAAGATGACACCTGCGGACACGCCGTCGCCACCGTCAGCGGGACAGCGCCGGGGGACTGGCTGCGCTGCGCGACACGCACCGGAAGATGACACCTGCGGACACGCCGTCGCCACCGTCAGCGAGACAGCGCCGGGGGACTGGCTGCGCTGCGCGACACGCACCGCAAGCCCGGCCGCTGGGCGCCGCGCCGGCGGAGAATGCAGACGAGCGAACCGACGGCGCGATGAATAACGCACGACCGGCGGTCATTAGTGGAGTAGACGCGCACATCGACCGCGCGGCCGGAGCGGCCGGAGCGGCCGGAGCGTGGTGCCCTGCAGTCGTCTGCGGGGCGCGCCGACCGCCGGCCGGCACGTCAGTGCTGACCGCCGGTCAGCGCCCGCCAGCGTCGGTCCGCTAGCACCGACCGCTAGCCGGCCCACCAGCGCCGACCGCCGGCCGGCCCGCAAGCGCCGACCGACGGCCGGTCCGTCAGCGCCGACCGACGGCCAGCGTTCGCCAGCGTAGGTCCGCCGGCACTGACCGTCGGCCGGTCCGCCGGCACCGACCGTCGGCCGGCCCGTCAGCGCCGATCGCCGGCCGGCCCGCCAGCGCCGACCGCCGGCCGGCTCCCGTCAACCCCGCAGCGCCAGCAGCCGGTCCCCGCGGTGCCCGGGCCGGTGCAGCCGCGCGGCACCGGCGTGCCGCTCCGCTGCGCGTACCCCACGCTCGTCATTCACGCCGCGCGCCGCGTGGCGCAGCGGCGCTCGCGGTCGGCGCGTCGTGTTTTGCCGGCGGCGGCTGACCCGGCGCCGGCCGGGCCTCAGCTGGTTTTGGCTGCAGTGCGGCAGCCAGCCGGCCCGCCGGGGCTCGTGTCGGCCTCAATGGCGGGCGGCGCGACACGTGGTGGCCCGATGCGCCCGCGGCGGCGCCGCTTAGACCCGCAGCTGGATCGAATCGGAACACGTTGCGCGGACCGCCCCCGGTCTGGCCGGTGGGAGCAATCAGCCGCACTTTATGCTCTCTTGTAAAGGTAATTGTGACTAATATCAACAATTTTAGTGGCGGCTTATTTCACCGAACCCGTTGCACGGCAAAATGGCCTATTTGTTGAGTCTGCATCAAGACCACGGCGGCCTCCCGTTGCGTTATTCGTTGCACCTTGAACGAAAATCCCTCAATGTTGACAGAGCTCTTAAAATCGCCATTCGTGACACGCTCTAATCCTGGCAGCGTACATCAAAGCAGACGCCACCCGTGACTTCTGTATCCTGTAGACGCATCACGATCAGGGACTACCACCTGTCGACAGCCATGTTAACCTGATCGGGGACTACCACCTGCCGACAGCCATGTTCACCTGATCAGGGACTACCACCTGTCGACAGCCATGTTCACCTGATCAGGGACTACCACCTGTCGACAGCCATGTTAACCTGTCTGTGTCGCACACAATATGGCGCATCTGTTGAAAGTGGCACAGCATCTGTCCTTCTCCTCGAAGTCGTCACCTGTTCCGATGCAAACGGACTCCTGGCACTCGCCGTCCGCTGGTGTTTTGGCAAAAATTGACAACCGATCCGTCGTCTGCTCTTTACAACTTGTCTTGGATCGCTCAACATTTTCCTCACGGCTGGCCCAGCAGATGCGGCAGACGACACCAAATCTAACTGTGTCGAATCCTCTTGCATGTTCACATACAACTTCATGGTGTTATTTCAAGCCACGTAGCATGATTTTCCCTCACGGCTCAAATCAGTCACGTGAGGTTATCGGGCTATTTGTTTGGCCATCGACATAAATTCGCTCTCAAATTGCCACGGGAAAGGGTATACGACACGGTGATGTGATTCTAACCCATACCAGCGAGCT